TTTTATGTGAAAATGCCCTTCATTTACACAAACTAAAAATGAACTTTGGCTTTAGAACCTCATTACTTTTTTCAGCAAGATATTTAAGCGCTGCGTCTTAAGTTACACTTTCGGCATTGCCGGATATTGATGAATTGCACATTTTTCACAAACCACGGCAGGATACACCAGAAAGCATCTCATGCTACTGAAAGCCATGCAGTGGGCAACCTGAAACGAGAGCTATAAGCTTTTATGTTTTTTCCACGGAGCTATCATATTCCCAGATTAATAATAATAAAAAAATCTCTACCAATAAACTCCAGCTCCTTTGAATCAAAACTTTCATTTTTCCACATGCTTTAGGCCAGGTTAAAAAAAAGAAGAAAAAAGAAATATGAGTTAATCTTTATTAGTTAACATCCCAATAACACACAGCAAGAAATAAACAATACAGCGATTGAAAATATAACTGACTATATGCTTTTAAAATGCCATAAGTATGAATATAATAGTTTAATAATCATGATAATTGTGTTAATGTAAGATGCATTAAAGTCATCCATTGTTCTCCACATCACCAGAGACACACATGTTCTTTCAGAGATTTTTGGCAGGTAGACTGGTTGGTCCTGCTCTTGTACGGTAGTGATTCAGATACATAAACGGCATTATCTCACCAGAATATCTCGATGAATAGATGGGCACTGCTTAGAACTGTAAACCATGCTATTCTGACAAAAGCCTGTCCTCAGCAACAACAATGAAAGTAAGTTTTATCAGTTTGTGGCTTTGGGACTCAAGAATTCTCTGTATGAACACGAGTCTGTCACAAATAAGGAAAAAGACAACCTTAGGCAACCATCCCTACATCCATCACTGACGTGTCACTTTTACAAGGGGACTTTTTGGCAAAATCAAAGCATGACCCTGCGGCTCATTGTTAACTTTTAAATCATCATTTTCTCTACTTGTATCTCCTTGAACATAAATAACTAGGAACCTTATTTTTAAAGTTTTCTATAATATTACCTTGTCAGTATATATTCCAAATGATCTTAACAAAACACATTTTTCAGATTTTTTAATTATATCATGTACAAATTTGAAATAATATTATACATATAATAATGTAACATATAATGTTATTGTGCAATTCTTAATTCAACAAGAAAAATAAAATGGGAATTATTTTTGAGTGAGGCCTGACACCTTTAATCCTGCCTCTCCTTGATGTGTGCAGGAGCTGCATGGTCTCCGATAGTGAACAGCCTAAAAACACGCAGCCAGACTAACTGATGACGCCCGTACTGTGTTTGCACTGATGTGTCCTGCAATGACCTGCCATCCCATCCAGGGTCTACCCCAGCCTACCCCTGCGATATAAAGATGGGCATGAATCCCTCCAGAAAATACTGCTTTTATAATAAAGAAAGAGAAAAAGGTAATAGTGTGAGATATGTGGGTAACTTTATGCTATATCTTGGGTTTCTTCTATGGACCATTTACCAGCAATTGTCATCCAAGAATGAGAAATCACCACAAAAACAAACAGGCATAACAAATTAAACCCAGAGTATAGCAGCTACATAAAAATTATTGAAGACTCATTCAGAATTCTTGTGGTGGAAAAATTGTATTCTTACCCATTCCAATGGTCTGAATTTTACTGTACTGTTCTGCCAATTGAGTGGAAACTTGAGTTACTTATTTACTTTTGGACTGGAAATATAAATTCCCAATGATCATATGATCAAACACTGGATTGAGAGTAACGACAGTTTTAAAGATGACTTAAATTCAAAGCAGGGTCGACCACGGACACGTTCTCATGCATAACCTGACTTTGTTTGGTGGGGGACCCACTTGAAAAGTATCGGTAAAATGAACTGTGAAAAAAGCCGGACATACAGGGACAGGGGCTCCCCTCCCGGGAAAATTAATGTCACGTATAAAAATCTTGCGGTTGTTTGTTGGCAGGTACTCAGCCTTTATAAAAGGATCTTCCCACATTTATGTGAGATCTTGAAACTGTCACTGTTTAAAGGTTAAATATACCGTGCGTCTTACACGGCTTTGCCAAAAGTTACGTACAGTACATGCGCCGAAACTGTCCCTATAGTTATACATAAGCGTGAGCGTCGTTGTAAACATAAAATTGCTTAAAGGTGCACGAACAGGTACATTAATTGTCACGTTTCTGTGACAGATAGGCCTATGCGATTTCAGTCAACCTGCTGCAGTCATACATGATGTTTATTAGAGGGACATACGTATTCACAACAATAACTTTGTTATGTGTAAATACTGCATTTTGCTTCCCTCCATGCTATATATCTACTTGGTATTCAACTATCTGTATACTGTTAAAGAAATTAGTTTTACGATTAATTACAACTCAGATCGTACAATAATCCGCGGACACTAAGACTGGTGCAAAAGCTATCATAATAACTAAAATATTCTGAATTTAAATGACCCTCGAGTATACAAGACTGGAAAATATATATATATATATATATATATATTTTGCAATAATATGGGAAATCTATAATTCGGATGTTGAAATGAACGGACAGAAAGCTTTATTTGTGCAATCTCTTCGGAGACGAAAAACGGACAGTTTCTGCTTCTCCAGAAGGGCGTGTAACTAACATCCAGAACCCAATAACCTTTCTATGCATGATTACTTTAACATGGCGCAAACCAGTCTTCCATCGACAAATTACCTTTTAAAAATGGCTCAGTCATAGTGAAAGATCCACAGTGAGGCAAAAATTCTTAAACTTGTGCGTTATAAATATGAGAATTAGTAGATTTTTTGCTATATAATTGTTATCTAATCTTCACTGCTGTATATAGTCAAAACTAAAGCTTTATTATTAGCTTGATTATTATTAGCGTATTACAATAAATTAATTTATCAGATGCTTTTGTTCCAAAGCGACAGGAGGTAAATTTCGTTGGAGAGCATGATCAGGCAACCTCCAGCACCAGACCCTTACAGCAGTTGGGATTAAGGATCTTGTGATTCAAACCCGCAGCCTTCCTGACAGAGGCATAGATCTTGAACCCACTAAGCTACATGGCACATACCTATAGAAATGATGTAGGCCTATAATCCAAAATTTTTGAAAATAGCAGGCATATGCATTCTTCAGGGGCATTGTGGTTGCTTGGTAAAATTCTGCAAGCAATCGTAATATTTTGAGATTAAGTACAGTATAACGTGATGTTAAAGTTTTCATAATGAGGGACATCTGCTTTTAGTTTTAGAATTGAGGGTTCAAATCCCACCATGTTCTCCCTGCCTTTTATGTGTGTCCCCTCATCCTCTCAAATTCATACAGTTAGATGGATTAGCATCTCTGTAACCCCTAGTAAACATTTCCTTAGTGTAATGACTATTTATGGCCAACAGGGGGCCCCCAAACCCTGGGGCCCCATTGAAATACATGGTTTGAGTGGTGGTACACACTGCCACTATGTATGCCCTTGTGCATTCCTCACAAGCAAACACTACATCACTATGCTGGCTTATTCATTTCACCTCTGACTCTTTATTTATGAAAATAGTTGGAGACATTATTTAGATAGCAGGTCAACTGAGCTGCTGCCAGAGACGGTTAGTGGTCTCTAATAAAAACGCTAAATCTAAGCATTCGCCTGAGGGTGAGACATCAACTAAACCTGGTCTGCAGCCAATCAGAATGTTTCCTCTTGGTACACTTTATCACAAATATTGGTCTGAGGGTGCTTTTAAAACTGTTATTTTTGGTTGTGGGTTTTAAACAGTTGAGAGTGTTGTGTGGTGTAATTGACTTTTTCCTGTCTTTACTGTACCAAGCTAGACTTACCCATCAGCTCTTTATTAAAATTTTCAGTCAAGGAAGTAAGTTATAAGTATTTAGTAATTAAAAGCCTGTTTTATAATTCTTGGAAGTCCTACACTTTGTACAAAAGCCCTACTATAATAGCGGCAGATCAGTAAAAAGATGTTGATTACTGACAAGGCCATAAACACCTCAACATCTCAGTTGGATTGCTCGGACACCCTCTAGTGTTACAACGCTTCACTACATAAAAGTTATTGTTTGTTGAGCTGATGATGCAACCATATTTATGCAAAATTGCGTGTGTTGTTGCGCGCTGACTTTAATATGCCTGTCACTTTCCTTAGAGCAAATTCCAGGTGAACCCAATAGAGTTTATCCATTGATCGCAACTGGTATGGCCTGGTTGCACTGCTCTCTGACAGATGTTACGAACTGGCCTGCATTACTCATGGATAGGCCACAGAGAGGCCGGTGACAGCACGGACCAATGTGTTTGTTGTTTTTAATCAAGTTCAGTTACCAAAAATATATAAATAAATCCCCGGGAATTTCCAACTGGTTTGCCTGATTATTTTTTATGAAATACTTTGTGTAATTCTTAAAAAGACTTAGACGCGAAAAGGAACTGCCTGAGGATCAGTAGACATCCCGTTGAATACACTGAGTCGATTATGAAAATTAAGTAATTAGTTGTCAGTGCCGGTTGAGTTTAGTTGGGTTTTTTGGATTGCAAAGTATGGAGCCGCTAAACAGAATTAATGACAACTCATGTGAATTGTATTGTATATGTTTATCAATAACGTAAATTGTGTTTATTTATTTAAATCCCACGTTTTATAGTAGATAAATAATAATGTAATAATATACGTTTTACATCTCTTAAGCCTTTTCTATTAGACTATTTCGAGATTTGCGCTTGCTGTGCACCTACGTATTTGTAAATGAAATAATAATGGATAAAAAAACTTATTTCAAACTCAGTTTATACAGGCAGTCGTACGAGGGAGTTGCTAGCCCGGTAACAACTCAGCTGACGTTAGCAGTCCACCTTAAAAATGAACTTTCTGTGTAATATTTCCTGAAAATATCGTACACCAATAGGAAGAGGCCGCTGTTGACTGCGGTTAGATCCGCGCTGTAACAGTTCTTCTGACTGGCTGGGACTCCGAGAAAACAACCCTAAATAGCTCCAGTTGAGTTTGTTTGGGGGGCAGTAGAGAGTGACAGCTTTGAAAACGGAGAAAGGAAGAGAGAAAATTTGTTCTGATCACGCCATTATAATCCACCGTGGAGCAGGAAACTTTTCCCAAACTTCTCGAAAACAGAACCTGTTCTGGACTTTTTACCGAATCTGCGATTCCCCACGTCGTCAGATTTGCTGTACTCGGGGATTTTTCTCACTGAACTTGTTCACTCGGAAAGTTTCCCTCGAAGATCGCGAGTGAGGAAGAGCCTGGTGGATATCGTGTTCTTTTCTTAACGTTTTTGATACAAAGACATTATGTCGGGGAGTGTCGGGATGTATGCTGCGAAGAAACGGAAGAAGCCCGTACAGAAAATGTAAGACTTTTGAAGCAAATTTTCCTTCGTACTCTGTCACTGTGCTTAATAGACTGATTGAAAATGGTCCGGCGCTAAAGCGACAGGCAGTGGCAAAATGAAAAGTACTTTATACAGCACCATAAAGAATTGCTATAGCTTGCATAAGAAGTAATATGGCACACTTTAAGAACTGTTTCAAGCAGTTTACGAAGGGTCCTGCAGTTATATCATGATTTTGTTAGATGAAGTCTTCTTACGCTCTTCATGTTAAGTATTCGGTGTGTCGCGGTAAAGGTATGATATACATTTGAAAAGTAAATTCAGTTTACTTGTAAATAATGATTAAATACATAAACTTTTGTGCTCGTTACCTGCCAAAAAAGGTATTGTGCCGATACCAGAGATATATATTCTGTTAGCAGGGTATTGATTTTTTTTTTTACACTGAAGAAAACAATAGTTGTATTTCGTCAGTATTCTATGGTTGTCTTAGAGCAATAATACATTTTCTTTACCAAGAAGACTATATAGTTACTTTTAGTCAGTATGTGCATTTGATGTCATGGTCGAGCAAGAATGTTTTTTTATTATTATTATTATTCGCCGCAGTGCACAGATTGGTGGGATATAAACGTTTCTAGTTGGTGGTTTGTTTTTGTGACATGTTGCGCCTATGTGCGCTAAGGGGTTGGCGAAGTTATGCAAGCGGACGGCGGCGGAGGCGGATCTCGCTGGGCCACCTTAAGAGCCGGTGCTCGTGCGCAGTTTTGCTCTGGCATGGAAATAGTACTCGCGCATTAATCATAATCAAGCCGAGAGCCGGCGGTGCTCTCACGCGATGCTTGCGAGAGGGAGGGGGCACGCGGGGGTGCTGGCCCCGGCCGTCTTATTGTAATCCGATATACGCGCTTTTCTCATTATGACAGCGCACTCTTTTCTCTCTCTTTTTAAACTTTCTTTCGGGTTTTTTTCTCTCTTCTTTTTAATTGACATATTTTAAGGCACGCAAGCAAGTTACACAACTGCGGTCTTTGAATAAACGCGCTTTGTGTTCTTGCTGCGCTCAACTGTACTTAATGTTAGTCCTTTTTCGGAAGAGGTCATATTTTTAATTACTAATGGCTTACATTATAAATTATATATTATTACTCGGTTATAAAAATCGCAAAAAAAATACATTTTTCTCTTTGACCGCAGACATGTTTTTATACAATCAACAGTTTATTTGGGTGAATACGTTGTACAGAGCCAGGACTTAAGCTGCATTTATAAGCGAAAATCGTCATTGATTGACCATTTGCTGAAATTACACCATAACAAGCAGGCACAAATTAAGTAACTTTTTTTTCTGTATTTCTGCAAGTTATGTCTGATACACAATAGCTTGTGTATCATTACAGCAGATATTTCTGCATGTATTTCTTTACTTAGTTCTGACTATCTGCCTGTTTATTATTATTTGGTCTTTAGTTATGCCTACAGACAATTCACAGATGACGGGTTGGTCAGCGGGTGTGTTAAGCGGGTTACCCTGTTACCAGGACCTCTGTTTATACTCTTTGCGATTATGTTTGAACTGAACTTCTAATGTGCAGCGGAGCACAGAGCAGGAGTAATGGCACTCAGTCAATACCTGTTTATACTCTTGTCTGAGCCCACCCACAGTGTAATATACACTCCCCCATCTGCGCAAGGAAGGTCAGTCTCTGAATCCTCACACTTGTACAGGAGGCTTTTCCTGACGTTACTGCCATTGACAGGGAAACACAGATGCACCGTGGAGGTTGTCTGCAAGCTGCATGCTTTTGCTGAAGCAGAAATGCCATTCTGAGTAAGGCTTTGAGCTCTTTGCATAGGTGACTGCTGATGCAGCTCTTCCTAAACGAAGCCGAATTCATCCATCCCTTCCACAGACTGCAACCAGTACTTTGCCACTTACAGTACTACCCAGAGACCTTCGTAAAGTTAATTTGACTGTGTGCCTGTTCTTCCTGAAACTATCCAAGTAAAGTCGGTCTTTATTTGTCGTATGCCCAGTATGGCAGAGATATCCGTACGTTGAAATGCTTGTAGTAAGGCACAAATATCACACATGCACATGTATTGTATACCACAGAAATGTAAACATAGGGGAGCAGGAGAAGGTAAATGAGTTTTTAAAAAGGATGGGTATAAGGGAATAAACCAGGAATAAATAAAATGGGTCTAGTAAAAATAGCAAGACCAGGTTGCAGTATTATTGTAAGATGGCTATTAATGTACTAAAATGACGAGTGTTACAGATGCATTTAGTGAAAATATAGTGAACAGTCACAAAGTAGCAACAATGACCTGCAGTGTTATACAGTACTGATTTTGATAAATCTGATGACCTGTGGGTAAAATCTGTTTAGGAGCCTGGTAGTCCGTGACTCTGTGCTCCTGTAACGCCTACCTGGCCTGTAGTCCGTGACTGTGTGCTTAAAAAAAATTAATCGAGTGTATAGCACCTCCTGGTGCGCTAACCTGCAACCAGAGTCTAGTCCCATAACCACTGAGAAACCAGCTCTGTGTCTGCAGAACAAACATCACACACCTTTTGAGATTATTATGGAGTAGCATAAAACATACTGATTGCATACATACTGGCTTTGCCCACAGAGCTATAGTGCTGCTCTAGATTATCATCTAACAATGTGGGTTTTGGGCCTTTCTGAGGTTGGCGCAGTGCGGTTATATGCCACGTTATGTTAACCCAGGCTGAGTGTGCTGTCCTGCTTTCCTCAGGGTGTGTCATATCCCTGTTCTGAATATAGAGACATGAGAAGTCTTCTAAACATCTGTCAACAGGCATGTGATTCTTTATGTGCCTTAGATTGCTATCAATTAAGTTACTGGATACGTCTGCATTACCTGCATGTGTAACTCTTATCAGCTTTGCGTTTTGATAGCTGTAATGTATTTACCCTTAAATGAGAAAATCATCTGTTCTGAATGTAGTGGCTTTAGTTTGTGTTCCTAGTCTCAAAATGCAAGTATTTTTTTATTTTGTAGCACAAAAGCATCTGTACAAAAAGCCGAATATTGCCTAAATAATTTTTCCCAAAATGCACAAATCTGCTGGTGTAAATTGTAAATGTTAATGTAAATTGCGGGAGTGTGCCATAGCATTCTATTGCTTGATCTTTGCTCTCCTGCTGTCTGTTGTATAGCCTGTCTAAAAATGCATTTATAGATGACATCATATCCGTATGCTTGGTAGAGTCAGCCATTTGTCAGCCATTATTAAGCTGTCATGGGTGTCGTCAGGGTTTCTTCTTTATTGAGTGTCCATGAGTTGGTGCTATGAAAGAGCTACTCTGTCTCTTATCTGGAATGTTTGCTTACGCTCCGCACCGTGCCTGCTAAGGGTGGATTAATGTATTACTGCAGGTATTGTGTACAGTACGCCTTTGCCGTTTTTTTTTCCCAACGTCTCAGGTTACTTCAGCTTGCACGCTTTTTGTGTTTTTCTTTTTTTGGACTGATGGCCATCTCCAATCACAGTGAGGGAATCTGTGTGCGGAAAAAGCAGTTAAATTCATATGGTGAATTGGTCAATGTGGATTTTATTAGAAGACCCGAAGCCACGTTTGAGCTGTACAGTCACCATTTTGCTGTTTTTGTTTTGTAGTCTTTTAAGATGAGTCTTGCTGTGCAGTGGAATTGGAGTCAAGTTACAGTGTTCAGCATAGCCCTGGCGTAGCAGCGCCCCTATGAAGCTGGAGTGTATCCCCTGCCTCTCTAGCTGCTGGGCCCTTCAGGGTCTCAGCTTACAGCTGTGGAACCTGGCAATGATGTAATTCGCTTACTTTTACAGAAACACAAAAGCTTATTATGAAAGTGCTTGCCACAATAAGCTAGTGAAAAGGTTATTTTTGGCAGCACTGCAAACGGATTAGAGCAGCTTTGGCAGCGGTGACGGAGAGGGGCACGCATACCTTAGCGATGCAGAGAGCGCTCAGAACCCCCCCCCCCTCCACCTCCACCACCATCTCCACCCTTCACCCTCAGAAACGCACCCTCCCTTGGGATGCCACCTCAGAACCTCCTCTCCCTGTGAATGTCTGGAACAAAAACAGGTCCAAGTCTCCAACTGCAAAGAAGCCCTTTGTTCTCAGGTAGTCGTACCAACAAAGATGAGGTGCTGTGGTTTAAAAAAAAAAAAAGACTTGAAAAGGCCTTTCTGCCTCACAACACGGGTGACACTACAAACCAGGTCAGATATACGATAAACCATCATAAGAGGCTCAAAATGCTTTTGTCTGGGACGGTTTTAGTTCTACTGTGGTTTTGTTTTAGTCTGCTGGATCAGAAACAGATGTTTATGACTTTCCACTGAGCATTATCAGATGTAGATCTGAATACTTTGATAAGATTGGATAGTAGCTCCAGTAAACTGGTAAATCTGTAGGCGAGTGCATGCTTTGGGTGAGGTGAGGTGGGTAGTTGTGGTCTCTAGGTGAGGGTGTTGTTTTGGTATGACCAGAGTAAGTCTTTCGTTAGAGATGCACAATATCTGTTAGCATTTCTCTATTGGCCAATGTTCATTAAATCATGACATAGGCATCAGCCTGATGTGTCAGCCTTGGTTGGTACTGTAGGTTGCTATTTTGATTTTAGCTCTGGTGCTGCTAACTTTGAACAGTAATGAAAGAAATAAGAACCAAAATAATGCAGATGATTGCATAGGATGACCAGCCATTTTACGTAGCCGAGGAAGAGGAGTTTGGTCGGCTCATTCACCACTTAGAACCTCGCTACCGTCTTCCAAGTCGGCGATATTTCCTTTACTGATTTCTCTCTGTTTGTGTTGTATGATATGGTCGCTGCACACATTCACGCGATCTCAAGAAGTAACATCACCGACATCAGTTTTACTACAGGTTTGTGGAGCTCGGAGTTTAGCTGGTTATTGGACAAAAAATATATCCACTATCGGTATCGGCCAAAATTTCCACCTTGATGCACAATTAGTTTTCATATCTTATATTTTTTGG